GTGTGTGTGTGTGTGTGTGTGTGTGTGTGTATAAAAAGGAAAGAGAAAAAAGAAGGAAGGGAGGGAAGGAAGGAGGGAGGTTCAATCCCCAGTACTGGGAAAAGAAAAGAAAACTCAAGAAAAATAAGAGATTTATAAGATTAATCCATGAGGTCTAAATCTGGCCAGTAAAAGTTGCAAAGAGAATGGAGAAAAACAAGAGGAAGTTAGTTATAAAGGGAATTTTCCAGACTAAAGCTTCTAGATTATATGGCACCTTAAGCACCCAACACAATGGATGAAAACATACCTACATCGAGGCATTTTGATAGAATTTCAAGATATCACTGGTAAACAGAAGACCCTAAAAGGTTCCAGAGAGAGAGGAAATAGGTTGCTTGTAAAGATCAATCATAATGATAGCCGGGCATGGTAGCAGAAAATCTGCAGACCCAGCTACTCAGAAAGCTAATGCAGAAGGCTCTTTTGCACCCAGAGGTTCGAGACCAGGTTGGGAAAGACAGAGAGACCCCAACACATATGTGCGCGTGCACACGCGCACACACACACAAAGGAATCCTAATGATATGATGATGAAGGACCTAAAAGCAATGACACCCCAGTGGCAGTGGGCAGAGCCTGCACTGAGATTCTGGCTTCTAAACACCATTTCCCATAAAGGGAACAAGGGATACCTGAAGAAACAGCTGACTTCAAGATTAGGAATCTCTGAAAAGGATGAGCCTGGAACATCTTATTATCCCAGAAAGCAAGGAAGTGCTCACAGATTGACAAGGAAACATCAAATGGATTGGCAACCTGGGGACAACCGAGCATCATAAAGATTGATGATGACCTACACATACTAGTAGAAATTCGATCTTGGGGCCATGTCAGCTATCAGAATTGCACCTCTATGGTTCGATGTAGGGCTGATGTTGAGGGCTGGCCAATGCTAAAATCAGATCTCAGAGCAGGTCAAGTCAGGTCAGTCCTATTGTTTTTGGTCTTAATGTTCTCTTTTTAAAAGCCTGTGTTCTTGGGTAAAGAATTTTTTAGTAAACTGATACAACAACTCTTAATTTTAGAACAGGCTCTGTGTGGCCTGTCACCTGTTCATCGTGCCCAGCCATCCTCACAGGTCACCTGGAGCTGAAGAGCACAAACTTGATGGTTCCATGAGGAGAGGTGATTGACTCAGGGCTCCACTATTTCCTCCTGCCACCCTCACAAACCAGTGTACATCAAGTTTCTCATCTCTGAGACTTCAACTTCACTGTTAATCCTTTCCTTAGCATATGAACAGGGTAATGGCTGGGGTCAGTCAGACCTTTAACTCTCTATGAGAAGGCTGAAAACTGAATTCCTAAATTGAAGATAATTTGACCCTTCAGCTTTGTGGTTATAGTCTAAGTACAATGAATTCTGGTAGTAAGTTTTGATACTTGATTCTAAAATGGCCTGTCTGCCCATTATCCTGGCTTATTGTTTCTCTCATTTAATGAAAACCAAAAGAATAATTCACGGTTCAGTAAATCATATGGAGATATTTACAACAAAAGCGGTATCCTTTTCCAGTGTCCCTGACTTCTTACTACACACTTGGATCACAATAAAGATCCAGATGGGGCTGCAATCCTATTCTTACCACTTACAGATAAAATGATCTTTGTTCCCTTTAGTGATGGAATATAAGCTGACTATAGTCCTGGCAGGGATATAATTTTTTATCCTCAGAGAGTCTCAGCTCCTCTGAGAGAAAATGGCTGACTCTGCCCTATCTCTGAGGAGAAAATGTGCACATTAGAAAACCACCAGCTTAATGGCTGTCTCCGTGGGAGGCCACCACAGAGAAAACCCAGCTTATGTTGGCAGATAAAGGAAAAATACCTCATGTTTGTGTATGTCATGTATCCATCCGGGTCTGGGATAGAGATGAAGGTGGGGGAGACGTGGACAGTGACGCAAAGAGCTGGGGTAAAATGTGTGAGAGCAAAGAACTCTTGACTGTGACTCAGCTGCATGTGATGCCATGTAATTATGTGAATGCTCTGTACATGTGTGGGGTTTGTGTCATGTGAGCATCGGAAATGCAACAGAGAAGTACTGCACTAAATATATTCTCTCAGCATATTCAGCAAGGGCACTGGTTCTCCAACTTGGTGGCATACTGAAATCAATCCTGGGAGCTTTAAAAGATTCTGATGTTTTAGGTCCTACCCCTGAGGTTTATTTGGTATAAAGTACTATAGTAGAAAGAGTAATGGTTTTCTGGAGATGTCCATGTCTTAGTCCCTGGAACCTGCAGATATGTGAGGTTGTGACAAAAGAGCACTAAAGTTGCAAGTGGAGTTAAGCTTACTAACCAGCTGAGCTGCAAGTAAAGAGATGGTCCTGGACTATATGAGTGGGTCCAGTGTAACACAACGGTCCTTAAAAGTGGATAGTTTATATGGTGCTGTGCACCTATAAACCCAGCTACCTGGAAGACTGAGGCAGAAGGATCACAAGTTCATGCCAGCCTGGGCTACATACTCAGATCTGGTCTCAAAATAAAACTAAAAGGGGATTGGGGTATAGCTCAGTGGTAGAACGCTTGTGCCCTTGTCTGACATCTGTGAGCCCCTGGGTTTGATCCCTAATACTCAAAAAATAAAAGTGGAGGAGGGAGGCAACATTAGTGCTGACAGTGATATAACATGAGAAGGATTCCACCTACTATTGCTGGAGGAGGGGACCCTGAGCCAAGGAATGTAGGTGCCTCTACACAGGATGAATTCTCCCCTACAGTCTCCAGAAAAGAATGTGGGCTTGTCAACATCGTGGTTTGAGCCTAGTGAGACCCATATCAGTTTTGTTTCCTACAAGTCTGTAAGACACTCCATTCACATTATTTTAAGCCACCAAGATTGTGGATAATTTGTTACAGCAGTAATAGAAAACTCAGAAAGTCACAGCCTGGGACCAGGTGACTAATTTGCAGCACATTATAACCACTGAAAACAGGATAAAGATGTGCTGGCCTGATGAGTTATAGTAGAAGAGAATATAGTGATTTCACCTGAGAAGTTAGTCAGTTCCCGCCCCACCAAATTATGCTCCTTCACTTCTTAGCCATCTCCTCATAGATACTGTGGCTCCCACATGTTACAGGATGGACACGCTTTGCCAGTATTGAGCCAATGTCTTTTTTTAGTCTGACTTACTAAATGTGCTAAAATTTCTTTGGGATAGGCCAGGGATTTAGCTCAGTGGTTTTGCTGCCTGCTGTGTAAGCACAAGGACCCAAGTTCAATCCCTGGTACCAAAAAAAAAAAAAATTTCTTTGGGATAAAGAACAATTGCATACTAGATAAGCAGATTTTTCCTCTTTCCTTCCTTTCTTTTTTGTGGTACTGGGGATCGAATTCAGAGCCACACTCATGCGAGGCAAGTGCTCTACCACTGAGCTGCATGCCTAGTCCTGGTAGATTTTTCTATATTTTCTTATTACATTGTTTCATGGAAGGAATTGGCCAGTAACTGAATTATACCAAAACACATAAACTGCCCAGGTCACATTAGCAACATCAAGAAAAGGACCAAACTATTTTCCTCTCTGCATTGAAACTATTAAAAACCACTATTACAACTGAAAGGGCTTCTCAATTTGCTTTAATAATCTATTTATGATGATAAACAGATGGCATTTGTTTACAATAGACAAATGGAATGATACTGTGCAAGTAACTGAACTCATTCTTTCTAGAGATCAAGAAAAGTGTCCATTATACAGTTCTGACAGGTGCAGCCCTACCTTCAGAGCGAGCCTTCGCCCACTGCCAGGACACCTGTGCCTGCTCATGCATGATAGTAACTCTTCTTAAAAGCTGTCCCATCATGGTACTGTCACCAAAAGGTAAGACCTCTGAAACTTTTACTATGTACTCTTCTCCCCTTATTTGCCTTCCTGGGAGAAGAAGCTGGTACAATCGAAAAGACAGTTATGTGGGAATCAGAAGACCTGAGTAAGAATTTCAGCCATGTCACTTACAAATGGTATGGCATTAAGAGTTCTTTCAGCCACTCGGAGCTTTGTCTGTAACAAATGAAGATGACTCACCTTCGTGACATGTGTGAAGTAAATGAAATGCTCAAGATAACAGCACCTAGCACACAGTAGGGACTTTCACCCACTCCTGGGCTTTTACATACCACCTCTATGCTAAGCTTCTCCCACTCTTCTCTTTTCTGTCCTCTCACTGAGCTCTGGTGCATGGCAACTCAGTATTTCCACTTGGACCTCTTGCTGGCATCTCTGACTGGACATGTCTAAATGGAACTCATGCTCCCTAGTTAGAAAGCAGCAACTCCTCTCAATTTCCCTCATTGTGTTCATAACAAGAAAAGCACTTCCGGTTTCTTGCATCCCTTTCTTCTCTATCCCTCCTGCTGTGTCTCTCTTGGACTCTGCTCCCCTCACACCCCACAGCCCAAGCACAAGGGCCTCACTGATGGCCCTCTTGTCTTAGGGCTCTGTCTCTCCCAGTTCAGTCTGCTATGTGTTCAAGATAATCTTTCTCCAATCCGATTTGTCACATCAAGCTCTGAAAAAGACCTTTAAACACTTTTTTGCCCACTGTCTAATATTTTGATTGAAAAGCAAACACCTCGAAGAATGTAGTTGATATGAGGACCACACAGCCATGCTATGCATTGCATCAGAGTGTACCAAGCCCTGAGCAAGTTCACATCACTGCCACATGAAAGAAAAGCTCTTGGGATAAACAGACCATAAAACAAAGCATTTTCAAAAGCAGTTACTGAAAACTGGACATTTTAAAATCAAATTTCTTTACATAGTGTTTTATAGCTATAATCTAAATTGGCCACAAACCACCCTCAATTGCATTAAACCACAACAATCCACTGACATTAAAAAACCTGACATGTTATATAACATTAAAATCATTCAACAAATATCTAAGTCCACAGAATTTCTATCAAAGGGCAAATCTGATCAATCTCATACTTGTTCTTACCATTTTGTTCATCCAACTCATTCCCGATTTCCTGCCCCATTTGTTTTTGGCGACTTATGATAGAGGAAAGGGCATCAAGGCCTGCATCCTGTTCTGAAAGAAAAAGACAAACAATTAACTAAAAATCAAAGAAAAACAATCTAAAGTCCATAAATATAACCAGGCATGTAACACAGTTCAATACACAAGAGATAAGATAGTTAACATCATTGGAGCAAAAAAATACCTTACACCTTATTCTAAAATGATATCCAGAAGATTTAAATTTTTAAATGTGGAAAATGAAATAAAATTTGGCTATATAAACATTTAAACTTTAGCATCTATAAATCAGCAATAAGATTTTATGTCTCAATTTTTAAATGCATAAAGGATATAAACAGTAAACGCATAAGAGAATTTTATTTATTTTTTTACAAAAAATTTAAAACGGAAAAACACATAAAAGCTTTTAAAAAATATTTAACCAGAATGAAGGATTAAAGAACAATGAATGACACCCAAATGGGAAGACCCAGAAGCTCCCAAGAGCATATGTAACAGGATAAATTAAATTTTCCAATTGAAATATTTCTCAAAGATACCCTTTTAATCTACCAAGTCCGAGTCTAGGAATGTATGTAAGAAGACATTCAGGGCCAGGGATGTAGCTCAGTGGTGTCGCACCTACCTGGCAAGCAGAAGGTCCTGAGTTTGATCCCCGGTAACACCCCCCCCTCCAAAAAAGACATTCAAGTAGTATGCAATGAGACATTTATGAAGATCTTTCCTAAAATATGTGTTTCTTGCACTGGATATCAATTTACTGCCTCTCTGTTCTAAATTTACCGACTGCTCTTGTAACACGGATCTCGACCCCTTATTTTTTTTTCTCCAGGGGTTTCACTTCCAGTATCTCTCTGCTGCTGGAGATCACAACCAGGGCCTCCTTCACGCTAACCACATGCTTTACCACTGAGCTTTACTCCCAGGCCCCCCAGCCTTCTCCTCTGACAGGATCCTTCAATAGACAATGGCACCCAGAGGCCACCAACTCCCCCTACACAACCCCTCCCCTCGGGAGTTTTATAAAAGGAGTGCCTCTACTGAGATACTTCCCTGTGAGCAGTTTCCACTGCATTCGAGAAGGTGGCACCCTCAGGTGTGGTGGCCCATTCCTCTAAGTAATGTCAGCACTCTGGGAGGGTGAAACAGGAGGATTCCAAGTTTGAGCCCAGCCCAAGCAACTCAGCCAGACCCTGCCTCAAAATTAAAAAGTAAGTAAAAAGGGCTAAGGATGTAGTTAAGTGTGAAGGACATGGGTTCTGACCCCAGTACTGGCAAAAAAAAAAAAAGAAGAAGAAAGAAAAGAAAAGAAAAGAAAAGAAAGAAAAACAAGGTGGCACTCACTACCATGCTTTCTCTGAAATCCAGAGACCACAGCTGGTACTTGCTCTGCCCAGAGGGCCCGCTCCTCTCTGGACACACACACTCTGCCTGAGATTAGTGACTGCACCTCGTACCTATTTCTGTATTCCTCAGTTTTCTTCACTTCTTGCTAGCTAATCCCTCATTACTTTAACCCCCGGTTGTAGTTAATTCTTTTTTTTTTTTTTTCGGTACCGGGGATCAAACTCAGGACCTTGCATTTGCCAGGCAGGCTTGGTGCCGCTGACCCACATCCCTGGCCCTTAATAATTCCTTATATTAAAATCCACCCTGTCAAATTTTTGTCTCCTGATTAGAGCCAGAGTAATACATTTCTAACAGTGAGAAACCAGAAACTACCTAAATGACCAAGCACAGGGATTTATAATTTTACAGTATACCCAGATAGTGAAACAGTACATATGATTTAATAATCATATTATGTGTGTACATTTTGATATTGAAAGTTCATGATATGTTATTAAGGAAAAAAGTAGGATACAAAACAATGTATACTAAAATAGCACTTTTCTTTAAAAGACAAAGATATATTGCTTTTCTGGTTCTTGAAAATTCAAAGGGAAAAGTGAGTTAAATTCAAGTTAGGCTATTTAGAGATCCTTTAAAATTTGATGTTGATTTTTTTTTCAACAAGGCAGTCTCAGGGGTCTCTTGGTAAGATCTTTTTTCCTTTGCTTTCGGGTACATTGGGAAGAACATTCTGAGGCTGAGTCCACTGACTTTTCACACAAGTAATATGCCAGATTAAAGCAGCATTCTGCCAGCTGCAGCTCCATGTGGTTAGGAGTTTTTTCAGTGGCTGTTTAACCTAGAGGCACATCTACTAAAGTAGAAATCACGAAGGTCTTCTTGCTTAAGATTACATTAGCATCTACTTATATTTTTTCCAAGTCTTTTTATGGAATTAAGCCATTACACTTAGTTCTTTTAATTCATCTGGAATTTATTTAAACTAAAGGTGTGAGTTAAGGATCCCTTAGTGACATTTTTTGACACTGTGCACTTTTTAAAAACTACAAATGACCTGCTGCCTTTAGAGACCATTCCAAGGCACCATTTTCTAGCAAAATCACTTTATAATGAGGTCCTTTTGGTCTTTAGTAACAACCTCTTGGATGGTCTCCAAGAGAAATCTATCATCAACCTAGCAGTGCTATAGGATGTCCAATGCTATAGTAAAATTCTAAATGTGTCCAAAGAATAATCTATATTTAGGATGGAGGGTCCAGTGTCAATGTAAATTAAAAGGTAAAACAATTTAAAAACAGGACAGGAGATTCCTCTAGGGTTTTCAATTAGGAAAAGTGTCATTGTATCCTGAAGTTGTCTTGTCTAAAAGAAACAGATTATGAATGAAAAATACCTACATTACACTTTTTGCTCACACACTTATTGTCTGACTTAACTACCTAAAGGTCATCTCTTTAATGTACCACAGAAAGAAGGCCAAAAATTCTGCTTTACTCAAATAACCTCTGTAAGACCTTGGCATCTCCTCAACATGTTTAACTGTTATAATAAATTTTCATTTCATAATCCAAAGATACAGAAGATAATCAAAACACTGTGTTGGTAATAATAATCACAATGACCTTAGCTTCTTGATATTCTAAAGCAGCATTTCTAAGGGAAGGTCATAGCCATCTAGAGATAATGATCAAAATAAAATGTTGCTGTTTACAAAAATATAAGAATCAAGAACCATGCAATTTATTATAACCAGCAAACTACTACAAATGTCATAACAATAGTTCACTTCCATAATCTACCCTACTCTATCACATAACCTGAGGCATTATGATATCATAATAGGTCATTTGTGACATAACACACTGTATGAATCATTCTTCAATTTTACAGTGGTATAAATATTAAAAGATGGATGATCACTGTGGTAGGAAAAATAATAGACCCTCCTCCACATTCACATCCTAATCCCTGGAACCTGTGAATAGCTTACCTTACATGGCCAAAAGGGACTTTGCTGATGTGATTAACATTAAGGAATCTGAGATGGAAGATTGGCCTAGACTGTCTTTGGATCCAACTTAATCATATGAGTCCTATAAAGCAAAGAACCTTTCCAGCTGCTGTCAGGGAGAGATATGAAGAAGGGTCAGAGAGATGCAGTGACTGGCTCTGAAGATGAAAGAAGGGGACCGTGAGACAAGAGATGTGGGCAGCTGGCAAGAGAATGGCTTCTACCCCAGGGCCTCCAAACCGGAACACAGTCCTGCTCACTTCTTGATCTTAGCCCTGTGAGACCTGTGTTGAACTTCTGACATACCGAACTATATGGCAATGAATACATTTTAAGTCACAGTGTGCTATTTTATTATGGCAGCAACAGAAAACTAATACAATCATTTTTGAAAACCCCTATGGAACAATTAGGTGTGTGGATACTTCCTATCTTTAAATATTCAGGAAAACCATTTTCCAAATAAATATCATGTAATTGTAGAAGGATAATTGGTGGCTGTAGATTAAAAAAATTTAGGAACAGTCATCAGAATGTATTCCTGCCAAAAATAACAAACCTGATTATGATCAAGGCACTAAATCTAGCTATCACTTTCTAGAAAATATCTGAGACAGAATAAGCTAAACAACATATGAGGAAACAAACAGAAAGCTCTAGACAGTGTAAAACTACAGGACAAATGACCCTGTTCCATAAAGAAACTGCAGAGAAGAGAGTTGGAAAAGGATTCTATATATTAAAGGAACTTAAGGAACATATCAATTAGTTGCAATGTATTGGCCACATTCAGACCCCAAATTAAATAGTCTAAAAGAAGACGTCATAGGACAGTCGGGAATATTTGAACACTGGATATCTGATTATATTGAGGAATTAATTCATTTGATGTGGGTGATCAATGCATTGTGACCTACTTTTTTGTTATCTTTTTCAAACATATTTTAGAGGTATATTCTGAAATACTCACTGATGAAATGATATGTGGGATTTGGTCAAAAAGTAATTCAGGTGGTGGATAGTGGGTAGATATATAAATAAGATCAGATTGGCTATGAGGAAACAATTATTGAGTCAGGATGAGAGGGGAGATTAAGTCATTACTCTCTCTACTTTCATGTGTTTGAAATTTTCCATTGCAAAGAGTTATCACTGTTTTATTTTTTATTTTATTCATTTATTTATTTACTTACACAGGGTCTTGCTGTGTAGTTCAGGCTGGCCTTAAACTCACTCTGTAGCCCAGGCTGGCCTTGAACTCACGGCAATCCTTCTGCCTCAGTCTCCCAAGTGCTGGGACTCCATGGTGGCATATGCCACCATGCCAGGCGAGTTATCAATATTTTAACAAATAAAACAGAGAAACATTCCTAAGAGGTACAACCACCGTCCTCTGTCAGAGCACACGACAAGGACAAGGGGTGAGATTGTGCCTTCTTTTCCTGTCTTTGCCCCAGTGTGAGCCCAGCTGTGGCACAGAGCATTGCTATGTTTAACCAAGGACTTACACATGTAGTACTTGCTGTTTACATCAGTGAGTGACCACAGAGGGCCCTCTAGCTTTACAGAAGAAACAAAAACAGTCTCTGCTAGGTGGGAAGGCTCTGGCTAATACCAGACAGCCTTCTGAGTTTAAAAAAACAGGTGACACTGTATTGCCCAGTGCCCAGAGAGAAGCAATAGA